TAGACCCTTCTTTGTGTCAGCATCTTTGACGAAAAAGCCTCTGCCTGTTTCCAATCGGCAGGGATCGGCAAAGTAAGTCGTGCAGTGTGTTGCCTTCCTGGTAACGATTGGCTGACAATGGGACAGATGGTTGCGATCTCGAATGCTTGCATCAGTCCCAATAAAGTGAATCCCCATTTCATGCCGGGGAATATGCACAGCTGGTAGTTGACCATTGCCGATGACATGATGGTGTTGTTCCGCCTGCATGTATGTCTTACAGTTCTGCAAGTTGGACTGAGCGGGAGCTAACCGAGACTAAGAACATCTATATTTCCCAGATCATCCTTCTCTTTCGTTCCTTGCTGCTCTTGAAGATAAATCGAAAGTGAACATTTTGGGCGTCATTCTTCAAGTCGGCAAGCTCGTCACCAAGCCAATTGCGATGAGATCTGCGTCTGTTGCCCTTGATGGCTCGACCCAACAAGCCTCGACCAAGCAAAAGTCCCGTATGCTGTGTGAAGTCCAAGTGGTGGACAAAGAAGGCCATGTTGTACGTGTCACGATGTGGAATTCTCGAGCGAAGATCTTCAGTGGAAAGCACGGTCAGGTCTTGCACGTCATGAACTCCGTGGTTGAGCACCGTGGAGGGGTGACCTTGAATTCAAGCGAGAAGACCGAATTCCCTCTGAACCCAAAGATTGAAGAGGCGGATGAACTGAAACAGTGGTATTTCCAGTCCCTCCCTCTTTTGACACCACCTGACTTATGCACAGGTTTACCGATGGTTTCGATGAGGCTGCGCTTAAGCATATCTCTTGTGGTTATTCCAAGGAAGGCGGTCTGACTTCGACCACGCTGGAGGAGCTCCCGAAAGTCTTGACGAAAGCTCAAGTCCGCGCGTCGAGGCTCGGTCATGGAGACTGCATCGACTACTTCAATATGGTCGAGAACATCAGCGGGTTCCAGGAAGGCATCATGTATCAATCTTGCGGGTTTCAGGGGTGTCGAGAGAGTTTGGAGAAGCACAAGGGCGATTGCCCCGTCAAGGAACACACCCCGCAACCTGACGAGAAACAGTATAAGTAAGCTGCCTCCTTGACTTGTCATTCGATTGCTGATTGACTGTTCTAGGTACAAAATAGGCTTCACAACTGGCGAAGATGAGAACAAGGTCATGCTTCTGACCGTGTTCTCTCCTGCTGGTACGATGATTATAGGTGCACCAGCTACCGAGATGTACAAGATGGAAGTATGTAGACCTTCCTCGCTTGATCATGGTTTCTGACACCCAGCAGGCTACTCCGAATACCCAGTACATGAAGAAGTTGGAGGAGATCATTACCTCAGGCACTTTCCACAAATTGTTAGTTCGAGTGAGCACTCGACATTGGATGGTAAGTCAAGCGTTCCCTGCCTAACTTTGTGTGTGAGTGCTGACAGGGAACAGGATGTGAATAACTGGGAGCACTGCGAGCTGCAATATCATGTTGTGTCGGCTTGGCCAGCTTGGGACACTGGCGCTTCAGAGGAGGTGGATACATCAGGGGTTGGTGTCGATGAGCCGGCCGATGTGAACAACGTGAACAAGCATGCTGGCTGGCTGCTGCTCGATGTCTGAAAGTCATGAAGATCAACTGCTTCTTTCATTGTTTCTCATACAGGTTCATGATCTGCCAATAATCGGTTATGTAACAATAGAGATATCTCGGAAGAACATTAATGATACAGTGTTCTGTAGGTCTTATGTTTGAGATAATCTGGGATAATCTGGGATTTATCCCATAAGCATCGGTCTCAGACCGACCTCAGATTATCTCGAGCGACACACTCAGAGCGACTGGGATTATCCCAATCGACTGACGTGGCTGTCAACCGCGAGCGCCGGTAGGGATGGCAATGGTCCAGTCCGGTCCGGTCCAGTCCTGGATGGTCCCGGATTTTTGGCGATAGTCGGTCCCAGTCCAGTCCTGTGATGGTCCGGTCCTGGACGGTCCCAGGACCGTGAACCGCCAGTCCCAGTCCAGTCCACTAAATGCTGACATAATTCTATTCAATAGTCAATGTGGGGTCATGGCATTGAGTGGGAGGAAGCACACGTGAGATTCATCATGCACCTGAAATGACATGCCAGTCAGTCAGATGATATGCCGACCTCTTCCAACACCATGACATGACTGGTCACCATCCCTGCAATGCCAAAACTGTCAAACTCTGCACCCAATTGCATGGCGAAATGGTGGCTGCATGGGACCGGACTGGACCGGTCCTTCGCAGTTCAGGACTGAACCGGATTTTCCAAAAGTGTTGTTCCTGGTCCAGTCCTCGGACGGTCCAGTCCTGGACTGGATCGGCAGCAGGACTGCAGTCCTCAAAGTCCGGTCTAGGACTGATGCCATCCCTAGTGCGCCTAAGTTGCTCGAGCATGAAGACTTCCCCATGGATGCCCACCCCCAGATGGACATGGAGACCAGTCGTATGGTTGACCCAAGCTGAACCGCTCTGATAGGTGGTGGGTGCAACCCCCCTGATCTCTGCCATCCATTTTTCTGCCATTCGTTCATCGTTCGGATCGGAGCATCGCTGGCGATTTGAGTTCAATGCCAGGGGTACCTCCGTAAATGCTCTCGTCTGAAGTCACTCCCCATTGTCCCGCTGGTGGTACAGCTCCTGGGTGTGCTAGGACGACTACCGAGCCCGGCTTCCATGTATTAAGATCCTTGCAGATTCTCTGTTGGGTTTGCAAGAGGTCGCAGCCGAACGTAAAGAATTCAAGTTCCCAACCAAGGCTGAGTTGCACTGACATCCTGGGAAGTATTTCGGTGGTAAAAAGGAGGACGGGTGGACGTGATTGAGAAAGTCATCCTGACCCGGCAATAACTATCCCTGCCTCACGATGCAGGTGACAGGGCACGCATCCACTGGCATGGTCTTCCATTCATGTGATTTTCAAATTTGGCTCCGCGTTGCCCTTTTCTCCTGAGCGTTGTCGAACAGGCATTCAATTGGCATTGATCTCAGTGCAAAGCTACGAGCATTCGCCTGTTCGACGAGCCTGCAACATGGCTTCAATAGTTCTAGAAGGGCAGATATGGGGGATTGTGCTGATTGTTATGGGTCTCTTTCTACAAGAGGTGCGTCCTCCTCGTTCTTCCCCCGTCGCCGATGGCTGACAGGCCTTCATAGCTGCTCTATCCCCGCCTCACCACCCTCCGGCCGGGTCATCTCAAGACGGCTTTCTCATGGTATCGCTATGCCGTCTCCCCGCCCACTTCCAAACAGAGTATTGCCCAAACGCTGCCTTGGGACATCCTGGCGACGATTCTGGAATATCTCGACACCCCTGAAGCCGCAGTCGCATCCATGGTCTGCCGCTCCTGGCTCGAGCCAGCTCGCCAACGTCTCTATTATGGGATAGACCTCCAACCAGCGTCAAACATGAACTTCATCAGACTGGCGACATCTATGGAGAACTCGCCACGTCTGAGGCAATTCGTTCGTCGTGTTCGCATAAGCGTTCTCGGGAAAGACGAAACGGCCGGCAGGCTCGACTGGATCAAGAACCTCCCACCTGACCAAGTTCAGCGGCTGTCCATTGGATGCACTCAGTACGACACACCGTCTGCCGCAGATGTCAGATCGATTTACCAGCACCCCAACATTCGATCTTCAGTGCAATGCCTGAAGCTCTCTGGCCGTCCGTTCCGGCACGCAGAGGTCCCCGTGAAGAATCTCGAATTTGCCAAATTTGAAGATCTTGAGGTCGAGGTCACGAGCGACGATAACATGGATTACTGCTCAAGTCTTCGATTTCCAGCATTGCGGAAACTTGTCATACGCGGGGCACGTATACCCCGACACTAGCTCTTCTTCTCAGTGCACCGTTACCTAGGCTGAAACACCTCGCGGTCATTATGGTCGGCTATCCCGCCAATATCAATCCGACTGATCAGCTCCTCTTGCAAGGCGTTCTGCTGCAGCTTTCGAGTCTGCGCAGACTTGTGATTCGAATGCACTTGCGCACGATGGCACCGATTCTCGACGGAACCCTTTCCGGCCTCGTCGAACTAAAATATCTCGACTGCACGTATGGCACGTTCTCCGAAGCGATGTTTTCTGATATCCCGCCGGGCCTGAAATCCATGACGCTTTGGAATAACCCCGAGTCCAGCCTACCGCTGAACCCGAACTTTACAGCAAGCATGATGGAATTGGTCGGCCCTCTCAGGAAAAGTCGCAAGATTTCATTGCGAAGTATCAGCACCCACATGTCGGGTCTCGATGCAGAGTTACACGCAGAGACATGTCAAAGATACACGTCGAAAGGCTTTATGCTTTCCTAAAGCTAACTTCGGTTGGTCACGCTCCCGAGAAAACCTTGTCTCGTGCTGAAAGAAATGCTTCAGTGGGTGTTGCCTCATACCATCAGCTCGCACTGAGTCGCACGATGGTCAGGATCAGCAGGGTTGATCGTGTCTTGTGTGGTGCTTCAGACGGAGATAAGGGGAGGCGTAGTTAGTGGGTAGTTCGGCATTGTGGAAGGTCCGCTTTCGGAAGGTCTAATAAAACGGTTTCGCACGGCTGTGAGCAGGCTGAGTCTGATTGGTACACAGGGCTGCACAAAAAAACGCTTCCATCTTGAACTACATTTGATAGAACAGGTATGTACATCGATTTCAGCTGAGAATGGATGGGAAATAGGTACAACATTTGAATGTGTCAGACTACGTGCTGTCCTGCAATTCGCCGGACCCTCCCGAAGACGACCATGCACCGTCCCAGCCACTCTGACCGAGTCCCAGTCCCTGTTGGGTCTCTGCAGGATTGGATCCTGATTCCGAGCTGATCCCCCAGGGATCCGGGAAGCTTGAGTCGCTGCCGCTTCCGGTGAACCCAGCTGCCGGCCCGCCGTTGATATGAGATGCGATAGGCGGAGGATATTCAAACTCCACGCTATCGCGTCTGATCAATGGAGAAGTCAGAATAAAGACTCAAGCTAGCTAGCACAGGCTTACTCGGTGTCGTATGTCGCTGCCTTGATGACCTTATCCTCTATGCCCAAACGTTGCAAAGGCGATGGCTGGTCGAGCACATCATGGAAATCGTTGGTCTTCTTAGCACAAACGGTTCGCACAAAGCAGAGAATAAACTGAATCCATGAGATGATGTGATCTGGGTGTTTGCTGCTTGCACGTTCTCAAAATTCGATCGTACCCAGTCCGTCCTGCCACTCGGTGAAGTTTACGACGTAATTGCGGTTGACATCGCCCGTGATAGAATGCAGGTCCTGGCTGTCCGTCAATTGAGCGTTTGGCCCGGGATTGATGAGCGTAATTAAGGCTTTCGCGGACTTGGCTGTTAATACGGCCTCAACAATCTGCTTGGCCGTGAAGGTGTGGTTGTCGCCATAAAAGATGCTGTTCCACCGTATGGACCTGAAAAAGCTGTCGCTGAGCTGCCGTCGTTTCCACGAGTGCATCACATCCAACTCAGCTGTTTATCGATAGTGTTATTTGGTCAGACGCACAGTTGAGTGTTGTGTCATGTAGCTGCTTACCTTCACACACTATCAACCCCGCAGCTATCTTCTTGAGAACGTCGAAGGGTAAACGCAGTGACGGGTGTATGCCCTGCGAGATGTGGACATGCAATCCAGTTACGTTATGCGGCGTCGACACTCGCGGAAAGGTTAGGACAATCGAGGCCATTGCCGCCCTCATCTCCGTTTGCCAGATGGAGGTCTGACCTTGATCCATGGGGCCATTTTCAAAACCCGGCGACCGAAGCTCGCAGGCAGGCGAACCGCTGAACATGATAGAGGCATCGTCGCCTGTGCCCCACCGACCTTTCGGTGCCCTCTCGCCACCTTGCACGACTATCGCAACAAACCGTGATTGTGGGGAGCGAGCATTGAGTCTTCTTGAGGTCGGATCCCCCGCCGGGGACCAGCAGCTCAATCTCCACGCCCAAAGTGAGAAGCATTGTCTTGGTACAGAGGAGCGATGAGTGGACTGGGATTAGGGGCGAGACAAAGTTGCATCGTACAACGGCGCGGGTGTTTGGGCACAGTGTAGGACCCCCCCACAGGTGGTCGGCGCATGAGCGGGCGAGGAGTTAGATTCCGTTGCTTCGCATTAGGTTCCACACCCGCCGAGTCCCTACTCCCGACTTCCTACTCATCTCATACCAACTCGTCCCACACCAACCACTTTGCAGGGCTCCTCCCAACTGAAACGATGGTCGACCTTGTACGGAAAACGAAGATTGACGTGGTATGTAAGCGTTCTGATGTCGTGGACATTGACATGTGTAGCTGATGCGGCTTAATTGGGCCTCTCGCGCACTCTGCAAATTCGCCCGATTCTCCCGGTGGCATCAATCCTCCCGGCAGGGCTGTCGAAGAGATCAATACCTACATTATGCGAGCCAATTAAACGCTACACACCTGCGCGGCAACTTCCTCTCGAACTGCTACTCCACACTCTGGGGTATATCCATCAGCCTGCACACCTTGCACGATTAGCAACGGTATGCCAACAATGGGTCGCAACCGTGCGAAGCGTTCTCTATCACTCTGTCGTTATAGAGACCAAAACAGACAAGAGGCAGGAGCTACTGTACACCGAACTCGGCGAAAAGGACTATCTGCGTCAACACGTTCGACACATGTGTATCCATCTGTCGCGCGCGGCCGAGCTCTCCCACAACTGCCTGGCCTGGATCTACCAACTTCCCGACGAACAAGTACGGAACGTGACGATCATTGCCCTGTCATCACCGGCAGACTTTACCGCCCTTCGCAAGTTGTTGGTTGGGTCTGCTCTTCGGACATCGCTTTACTTCCTGAACACAGGGTTAAACACCTTGTCCGCAAACGACGCGGACGCCACGATCATCGAATTCTCCGTGTTGCAACGCTTGATTTCATGGCTTCCGGAAAACCGTCTACAAAAGCGCTGGCCGCCTCTCATCTTTCCTCTTCTCCGGGAATTAATTATCACGTGCCCGGAATACAGCCAAAGTATCCCAATGATCATCGAGTCAGCGTGCACCCGACTTAAACATCTCCGCATAGACCTGAAACCCGGTACCACCGTCATCAGCAATGAGGAGCAGACCCAGTTGACGAAGTCACTCGGGCGCCTAACAGATCTGCGGTATCTTACGCTTATGCTCGAGCTGGACGATTATGCGCCCGTTCTGGATGCCGTGTTACCGCCGGGACATACACCCACGAGCTATTCACTCTTCTACCACCAGAGCTGAAATCGCTCTGTCAGATACGATCACCTGCGTCAAAAGTGCCGATCGAGTCGGAGTTTCTTTGCGCCCTCGAAGAAGTGATTGGTCGAGTCGTCCGCGGAGAACACTCCCTGCGGTCCATTCACACGTATCTAGGCACCCAAGAAGAAATATATGAGACACGATGCTAGAGGGCGGCCCACATCGAACTAGTATCAAGCTGAATTTTTTTCTCTTCTAGTGGGTTGCTTTACTCTCCCCATGAAGACTGATTACCACCTGCCATAGGGTAGTATGTTGTATTGTCATTTTGAATAAACAGCAAGCACCTTCTGCGTTTGACGGACGTGAAGGACATGGATACAACTGGACAATGATTATTATCAATAATTAATCCCACTGTTCGTTCATGCTTTGTCTGCTCGTTCGCAAGCCCCTGTCGGATGCATTCTGATGTCACTGGACGTTCTGCACCTGGGCTGGGGTCGCACAACACCTTACAATTACAGACATCCGTGGACTTCCTTGTCGCCGCGCTGCTAATGTCCCAGTTGTGGATGGTGGGCGGCCCTCGGGTTGAGTGCCACATAGAGTCGCACTGACGTGTGCATCAGTGAGCGTTGCTGCAATAGATACGGTGCGCACCTGGAACATTTCCCACGTCATCTCAACAACCCTCGCTCCTTACTGGCATATTTTGAAGCGATTTGGTTGGGTGTTCGCGGGTGCCTGGCCGAAATGGGCAGGGAGTGTCGCGCGGGCGAACGCTCGTACTGCGCGCCGAGGTCGAGGGAGGTTGTGGGTGCGTGCGAATGGACCAGGGCCGGGCAGGGCGCAATTCGCAGGACGAATAGCTTGATACGAATGAGCATGCGCGGTGAACGGGAATCAACACCATCGGCATGGGGTGCA